TTTATATTCGTCTACGATGCTAGTTTTCCGATTTAAACATGTTTGAGGAACTAATTTAAATTATTTTGATTAATGATATTAATGTATGCCTCCCTCTTCTTATTTGAATGCCAGTAAGCTATATAAATTACGCACTATTCAACCTTAATTTACTTTTAAACATCAAAGTCTCTAAACCGATTCAGACGGAGCAATGTAACGAAAAATAGAGATGTCTCATAATATTGAGCTACTCATCGTCTTTGGAATAGCCTTAACTCCGGAGTTTTCATACTTGTACATGTCTCAACTTGTCTAAAGTAAGAGGTGGGCGGGACTTGTGAATTCATTATTGCGTGCGAAGGGTACTGAAGCGTGCCCTAAAGTTTGTTTCCAGATATGAAGTTCGAAACTTGGCATGTATCTCACTTTAGGTATCTGTTTCTTGAACTATATCTAAGTTGAGAATTCGTTAAATTTATAAAAGTTCAGTCTGAGAATTAGTGCTAAGTTAGGAAATATATTATGCATGGATGATTATTCTCTTACATCAGAATAAAATTTAGAATTTTTAACTTCGAATGTTTGTTTTCCATTCTAAGCCTTTTACCCTTCGTTTACATTTAAGCGAGACGATGTTTTTTTCTTTTTTTCTTTTCTTTTTAAACTTAAATTTTAATATCTTGAAAATTATTTTAAAAATATATTGAAAAAGCGAGGTTGAACAAAAATAAGGAAACACTTCTGCATTAACTCTATGCAAACAATGTTTCTTTTAGTAGCAAATGTTTTAGAACATTTTACATGGCAAAACTGTTTGCACAATTTTAAAGATCTCGATTAAAGCGTTTAGAAACTGTGCCTTTTTTAGACCACAGACCATATGAAGTAGTTTTATTACTTTTTTTGTCTCCTTTTTCAATATCCCAATAATTGCCATGAGGACTCAGTGGATAGAGCGTTCGCCTTCCAATCAGGTGTAGCGGGTTCGAATCCCCGCAATGGCTGATCGATACGAATTCCGCATCCGGATTGCACCGACCACAGTGCTGACGTAAAATATCCTCAGTGGTTGACGGATCATTGGTTAGAGTCCCCTTACAGCCTGGCCTGGCAAATCAAGGGAGGGTTTTGTGGTTTTCCTCTCCATGTAACGCAAATGTGGGTTAGTTCTCCCAATACTTGATCTGGGAGATCCCTTGTCTTCTGGATTGGGTTCAAAATTACAAGGCTACAGAGTTGAACATTTGTAGACGTGAACCCAAAAATTGGTTCGGCTGTCCAACAACGGTTATTAAATATAGTTCGTTCACCAGGATTTGGCACTTGGCTCCACCTCCTCGGACGCAGAGTTCATTTCAGCGCGGGGGAGTCGAGTTATAAATAAACAATTAACATAATCATACTATGTATTACGAAATGTAAATACGCATTAAAAACAGATTTTTTTGCATTGTTTTTAGTACGTCAGTTTCTAAACAATTTTTATAAATGTTATATTATATCGTATATAAACAAATATTAACTCTAAAATAAAAAATAAAAAAATTAAATTTTTTTTTAAATAAAATTTTATTAAATATTTTTTATAATGAATAAATAACCAATTCTTAAACCTTGTCGCACTGACTGTCACAAATACGTGTCAGTAGGAGACATTATCAATCCGGGTAAAAAGATAAAATTATTAACCAAATAGTAATAATAATTTGATTTATTTAATTAACCACTAATTAATTCTAATAAAAATTATATAGTAACACTTCGAACTGAAATGTGGGATTAGACAAACATCGTTAAAAGTAAAAGTAAAATTATCATGCCAAATAGGCCATGCCCACATTTGAGATGCCACTTTTTATTTTATTTCCTTCCTGATTTTGTACGAATGATTTTATGAATCGCGAAAGGGTAAAACAAATGATATTTGATTGCTAAACATAAAAAAAAAGTTTGTTAAACATAACAATTGTTAACTATAAAGGATTTCTAAAAAGTTTTTTGGGGTAATTATAAAAATTGATTTTGTTATAAAACTTAATTCTTATGATTTTAAAATAATAAATAAATGTGAATTCTATGAAAAAAAACTTTGCCTACATATATCTATGTTGAATAGTTATTATTATATATTTTTTTGGTTACTATATTTTTCTTTCTTTTACAACCTTAAAAACACACGCAATTATAAAACTTTTTCAAACCTTATTCCTCTGACTTCCAATTTCAAAAGATAATATATTCCAATTTCTCATTTTCAATGAATATAAAAATTCTCTTGATAGTGAAATGTCAAATTTTCAGACAATTATTATCCTCCTACATAAAGATATCTCAGAAATAATTTAAGATAACTGAGAATCTTCATGCAAGTTCAGAACCTCAATGAAGGTATGCGTTCAAAATGAATTACTATGATCCACATTGCGAATGTTCATGAATAATATATTATTAAAGATAGTCATAAGATAACGATACGGAGTTCGTCTTTCGACTGTTCGGCATTAATCATGAAATAAGATTATTTACTTTACTACTATACCTAAGAAGGAAAATGTAAATTTTTGTTTGATTCTTTGTTTATTCCATCTTTTGAAATCGATATTTTCAACGGTACAATCCAGTAGCATAAATTCTTAATTTTCTTCCTGCATTTCAAATACGAATATCAAAACAACGTTTCCTCTGAGGTTTGAATTCATTACAATTTATGAGGAGGATATTTTTTGTTTCATATTTTTCTGTACTCCAGTTGGCCACCGATTCTCAAGCTGAACCATTTTTGAGCATTAAAAGGAGACAGGGGGGCGCGTTCTTCTTGCAATTCCTTTACGTGATCTGAAGAGAATATGAACCACCCCAACGTCTCCAGAGAATACCAGTCCTAGTTTTGAAAAGCGGATTTCATCGATGAAGGCTCCCCGGACACCAGTCAGTCAAACTAAAAGCTGTTGCGTTCTGGATTATATTGTTATTGTTGTTTTGAAAACCTAACATTCCTGCCTCGTAATTTACTTTTCTTCAAATTAAATAAACTCCCATTTTCTTTCCGTGTATTTATTTGATAGCAGATGTCCGCAGAACTTTTATAATCAAATTTCTAAAGAAATGTTTAAATAATCCTCTGCAAACTTTAAGTTTACGTAATAAATTTAATTTTATAGCCAGTTATAGTTTTGCCTTGTTACAATGCTTATGCAAAGCATAACTTATTGTTTTTTGTTGATTTGAATATTTTCAATAAGAAATGAATAACTTCTTTAAAAGCACTACAGCCTCGTGCAGGCCAAGGCTTTCTCAGTCTGCCTCTTCCAGACAGATCGACTTGTAGCTAGATTTCTCAATTTTTTCACCCCTAATACTTTTAGGTCCTTTTCCGGACAGTCCAACCATCTTGTTAACGGTCTCCCTTTCTTCCTTGTACCCCAATCTTTGAAATATTAGCTTTTTGGAATATTCCTAAGCTTTTAGCTAAACAATCAGCTTTTTGGAATTTTTTGGGTTAGAATCTTCAAGACGGAGAACATATCCCAGCCATCTGATCCTGTATGACTTATTAACTCGTAAAAAGTTCGGTTGTCTATATTTGTTAAACACTCCATAGTTATATAAACTTCACTGCTCCGAAACTTGACCTAAGGATTTATCTTTCAAATGAGAGTAATCTGTTTTCTTCTGCTCTATTCAGCTCCAAAGTCTCACTGCCATACGAAATAATTTAGATTTTAATTGGTTCTTCACTCCGAAGTAACCATCTATCAGCCATCAAAATTTAGTTTCCAATTTCTATTTTAACTCATTATTATTGGGCCCAGGTATTGAATAGGTTAAAAATGGAAAATGGATCCGTATTCTAATTTAAGAGATTACTATTTCACATAGAAGATTTTCTTCTTTAGCTAAATTTTCAAAATGTTTCAATTAGAAATAAAGAAAAATCTGGATCGAACTAATTTAACCTATCTCAGAATTCTTTACATTTTCTACACGCTAAACATTATAATTTAAAAATTTCACTCCAGTTTTTAAGCCTACTTTGAGGATCCTGTTATAACTTGAACATAACATCATTGTGGTTGACCATTGAAGTCAAGTGGTACCCTGTCAAAAGAAATTTAAATACGAATAAGTTTCTTTTTTCAGGCTTATAGAATTTTTTTCCGGTACATGAAACTTGAACAGTGAGCAAAAAATATTTTTATGGCTAAAAGTCTGTTGATTTTATAATATTTACAGTTTTCATGAGGTTATAAAGATAAATAAAAAAAATAACAAATATTTGAAATATAAAAGTATTGATTAGTATTTTTTTCATGTGTAAAGATTAAAAATATAAATTTAGCAATTTTCAGTTACTTTTACATGCGTAATTTACTATAAACTACAACACCCTCTAAATCCTTAAATAACATTCCATTTTTATTATTTGAAAAAAGTAGAGATTAAAAATATTTAAATTCCAGAAAATTTACTTGGTTGGCAATAATAAAAAAATATTGTTTATTATTGAGTTTATAACTGAATGGCGTTCATGGTGTCATAGATAATATTATTATTATTAGGTAGTATTGAACATTTAGAAAATACCTTTCGCCTCAAGAATATCAATATCTCCGTCAATAAAGTGCCAAAAATGCCAATAATAAATAATTGAATTATTTTTCTTCGTATCCAAAAGCCACGGCTAGAATTACTTTAATTATGTTTTCAGAATAATATTAAAGTTGTTGGCTGAGGGCTTAAATATTGTCTTAGCTTGATAATACTTGTCTACCAACTACATAGATTGTGGACTTTCTAGAAATGATTCTAGATTGTGAGATGTATTTGTTTGAATATGATTAAAAATAGAATAGAGTATTCATTATGATTTTCATAAAGGTAATTTTAATGGAACTTTGTGGTTAAAACCTAGTTTTTCTTTATTAGAAAGATCATGTAGAGAAGAGAATGTGTAAATATTTTGATCATTGTTTGTTATAAAATTATATTCATTTATTAATTGTTTTTTTATTTTATAGGTGCTTGGTTTGGAATTACCTTTTCACAAATCAACTCAGGAGAAGAAGTATCGCCTTTTTCATCCAATAGGTTTTTCTCAAAAGTGTATTGAGAAAGTGACTATTATGATTTCTAAGCAAGATTGGCACAATTTGTTTGTTGCTACATTAGTGGTGATATGTTTAATAAACTATGGCTCTGCTTGCCCAAGTGTATGCACTTGCAAGTGGAAAAATGGCAAACAAACTGCTGAATGTACTGGCAAAGGCCTGACAGTTATACCTGCTGATTTAGACGTAACAACGCAGGTGATAGATATTAGTAGAAATAGCTTCACAGAACTTACAAGCCGCTCATTTCAACAAAAAGGATTAGTTAATTTGCAAAAAATCTTCATCTCTGACTGTAGCATAGCTAGCGTCTCTCGAGATGCATTTTATCAGTTGCGAAATTTGATTGAATTGGATTTAAGTGGAAATAAATTGCAAAATATTCCTACTGATGCGTTGCAAGACTGTCCAAACTTAAGACGGCTGCAACTTGCGCACAATCCAATTAGCCAAATTGATGGCGGAGTATTTTCTTCATTGTCTCATCTGACTAACTTAGGACTTGCCAACTGTTTCATAAAAAACTTATATCCTGGAGCTTTAGATGGTTTGGATAATTTAGAGTATCTCGAGTTGAATGGCAATCAACTCACTACATTGTCCATTGATGTTTTTAAAGGTTTAACAAACATGAACGATCTTAATTTACATAATAATCCATGGTACTGTGATTGTAAAATTCGAGATATCAGAACATGGATGATTCAGCAAAAGATTCCTCTATCTGTACCACCTCAATGCGAAGCTCCAGCATCCTTAAAAAGTCTATCTTGGAATTCAATGTCTTTAGAAGATTTCGCATGTGCTCCTAAAATGGTTCGAGTATCTATCGAAACAACTGCCATTGTTGGCCACAATGCGTCCATCCTTTGTCAAATAGATGCGACTCCTAAAGCTTTTGTATATTGGGAAGCTGGAGGAAAAAGCTTAAAAAACTTGAGCACAACTCCAGAATTGAAAGCAAAATACTTTATCGAAAATGATATCGCCCCCAGGCAATCTAGCATTTTGCATATATATCATGCAGCTGAGAGTGATAGTGATATATATGCTTGTTTCGCAGAAAATAAAGCAGGTACAGCTTCTATGAACTTCACATTAACTGTAGTTTATCCTGACCATTTGAGTGGCTCGTGGAGCAGTTTATCCATCACACTACTTCTTGTAGGCATCGTTTTTGTTATTATTTTATCTGCCGCCGCAATATGTTTTCTAGTTTATCATCCATTTCCATTCTCATTTGGGAGTAAAATAAACCGAAGTAATGTTCTGCAACACCTGTCAGCTAAGAAACAGGATACCGTTGAAATGAATGACATAAGGCAAGATAAAGAAGAGAAGGATCTCAAAGTAACAGATAAGCAACCACGACATGAAACGGGGAGTAGCGGCTATGGATCTGATCAACTGACGCCCGATCTAGTGAGCAAAATAACAGATATGAATAATGGCCCTTCCTTATCAACCTCTACGGTCAGTTGTAATCATCTAGATTCAGAGAACCCCGTGCTTATTGATGGATATGGATCAAATATCGACCACTGGCCTCTGTCGAAAAGTAAGCCCACTCCGAGATACGATGGATCTCCTATACGAAATAATGTTTACTCGGAAATATACCTGAATCCTTGCTATGGTAAAGAGGATGATCCCTATAATTATGCTCTACAAGCTGCGGGTGTTCACCAATTACCACCTGACTGCACTGTTGACAGATACTTACCTCAAAACGACAGGGTCCGAGATTTGAGAAATGGTTATGATTATGCAAGTCGAGAGGATATATCTTCAGCATCTGGTCATGATGACACATTGAAGCGATTCCCGCTGGTTGTTGCAAATGCTTCTGGTCACTACACATTGCCACCAAAAACAAGATTTTCTCCTGATGAAGGCTATGCTGAGGAAGGTCTTGAGGGTACTGAAGTATAAAACTCTAACAGTTATCCTCATTGTGAAAATACCCAACTGGTATATAACAGAGTCATCACATTACAAAATAAGTCACTAATTTCTTAATGGACGAAAAACATTGATCCATTTAATTCTTCCCAGTATTACATCTGTCATTCTTAATTTTTAATATGTGTTACTATAATTTTTTTCTTTTATAATGAAAGCATATTTTAGTCCTTAAAGATAAAAAAGATGTCCTCAAACTTTTATACTATAAAAATGATGGCGATTCTTGACTTTTTATCAATGAACTTCAAAAATAAGTTCCATTATTTTGAATGGCTATTACATTTTATACACAAACCAGAAAACGTGTATAGTTATGGTTTAATTTATTGATGTTGCCCGTGAAACTTTAAGCTGGAGCTGATATACTAATTGTTTACATGAAACCATTAATATTTTGTATGAAAAATGGTATGAAAATATATTTGTTGTATGCTATGTACAAGAATGTAGAGAAATTTTCCAATAATCTACACGTAACAAGCATCTGTGCTTTGTAAAGATATTTTTATGACTGAAAATGTTAGATGGTGTTATTCACAAAAAACGTGAACTTTTTTTCAATTTAGATAACGCCAATTGAAATTAAATATATTTTGTGTTATAAAATAGAACACAGTTTAATGTATCATCAAAGAAAAATAAGATAAAAAGCTTGTTTGGAATCTTAGGGAAATCAGATGTTCTATTACAGCTGAAGTTAAGATGTTGCTACCTTTTCTCAGAAATTATTGAATCAAATTTTAAAAAAAAGTATTTCTGTTTTGCTTCTGTTATGATACTGATTTCAATGCGGAGTTTCATGCTATTTTTTGTCATTAATTTTCATTTAAATTTCTTTTTTATTTAAATTTCTTGAATTCTAGATTTAAAAATCAGAATTTCTCGATTTAATAATCAGAATTTCTCGATTTAAGAATTTATTTTTAGAATTTTCTGATTTAAAAATTTATTTTCAGAATTCTTGATTTAAAAATAAACTTTCAGAATTCTTGATTTAAAAATAAATTTTCAGAATTCTTGATTTAAAAATAAATTTTCAGATTTCTTGATTTAAAAATTAATTTTCAGAATTCTTGATTTAAAAATTAATTTTCAGAATTCTTTATTTGGAAATCAGGATTTTCATATTTCATTTAAATTTCAGGAAGAAAAAAAAATTAAAATCGTAAGCAAGAATACCAATCGAAATTGAAAATTCATTTTAATTATATCCCGAGAACATTTAATATGCGCATTTTAATATAAACTGAAATATAACATCTGAGTCATCTTAATCTGATGTATTTTTGCTTAAATATGTGTTAAAACTTGATAAAAAAATAATTTGCACCAATTTTTCCCAGACTCAAAGTTTATAGATATGCTGTCCAAAAAATCACTTTTTCATAACGTGAAATTATTTAAATTGTTGTGGTGTTTTGCTTCTGATTTGAATTCGAAGCATTTAATCCGAAGCCATCTAAACTATCATATGTATATCAAGTATTCTGACTTTGATTAATAATTAAAATTCTTTAACTTTTCAAAACGCACTTTACTCTGAACAAATATTTCTGTTTTTTTATTAATATTTTACCAAAGCCTTATCCATGGTGCTACTTTTTATTTAAAATTTGTAATTATTAAATCTGAGATTACATCAAAAGTCGAATTTTTACTGTTTTATGTTTATTTTTGCATGGATCATCAAATAGTTGGTGCTGGCGGTATTTTGGTTGATACTCTAAGAAAAGTAATATGATTGAGAAATATATTATTTCTTAATTAATAAGGGGAACACAAGTTTGAGATTTCATTTAGATAATTGATGGATTATTATTTAGTTTTTGTAATAATCAGATTCTAATAAGTGATAGAATAACTCCTCAAGTTTTTAATGTACATTCGAGGTTGCAAGATGTCTAAGCAAGGAAGTAAAAAAAAAAATTCAAAATATGTCAAATCACTATTGAGTAGGGTGGGATGAAAACCTCTAAGCCAGTTTGATTGCTATAACATACTTGCAGGTTTTCAAATCGTGTAATCTTAGCTTCCTCTGGTACCCAAACAGTTTTTAATTCTAGACTTTTTAGGTAATGATTAGGCAAGTTTTGTTACATTGAATACTTTTCGAGCCTTAATGTGTATATTTGTTTTCATTTTTAACAAGGATTTTAAAAATATGTATATTAAGAATGTTAATTGCGGAATTACCTGCAGCGATTTCGAACATCAAAAAATTCTAAGGGGTATTCTAAAAACTATTAGGATCGAATTTATGCACAAATGTAACGGTTTATTTAAATTTTTCAAACTGGTGTTCTTCCTTAACTATTGTTGTACAAATCTTTGCGACATTTTGATAGGCTTCGATGTTTTGAGCTTATATGTATTGAAAGTGGATAAGAGTTTGAAAATTTTATGTCAAAAATGTAATATTATATGCCAACATTTCTGAACGTATAATGATTAAAAAATAAAACATTAACTCATTGAGTTCCTTTGAAACTAATGTGTAAAGAAATTTATATTTTGAAATGAAAAGTTTAAAACTAAGTCAAAGTTCGTTTATGTTTCGACTAAGCCAAAGACAGCTTTCGTTTTCCCAAAAATCTGAGACACGCGATGACACGCCTATCATGCACATTAGATTCGTGAAATTTTTTAATGGTTATACCACTATTGCTTGAATTTAGACAGTATACTTTGTATTTTTTAAATAAATTTAACTGAAAAAAACTTTTGAAAAACAAAAATTAATTTATCTGGGAAATGAATAAAATTGTGAACAAATTGTTCCACAGTTAGTTTAAGCAAAAAACGTTCTTACTCAGATAAATTTAAAAAATTGAAAAAAAAATTATGTGCTCAGGATGAAAACTGCAAAAACCAAATTTTGAGATATAGGAGAGGATGTTGTTAATAAAATTGAATTTCTCTTTGAAAACCGTTTGAAGATTAATTATTAATTGGATAATTCACTATATGAAATATAGATGGCAGCTGTATGCATTTCTCGAAATTCGAGATCGATTAATTTCTGCCTTTTCTATTCTGAGTGACTAAAATTTTAAACCGACTACTTGCAAGTCCTTTGGATGGCGAACTGTTTTATTGTGTTTTTAAATGGCGGAATACGAATGCAGGGTATGAGCCTAAAAATAAGCATTCAAATTTGTTTTTACTCTTGTTTTATTTATTTTTTTACAAGAACTAAATGATCGATTTTTAGTTTATTGAAATTCGATGAGCATTTAATTCCTTGCTGAAAATTTTAGAGAAAATTCAAATTGTTATCTTGAATGCAGTTGCTTAAGATTAAAAATAAATAAAAAGAATTTCTCTTAATCTAAATTCAAGCAAAATTGGTGCTGTGTTTTTTTATGCCATTACCATAAATGTTGTGATTTTTTTCATTTTTCCGTATTCATTTGTAGTGATTTTTAATGTATGTAAGAAGTTTTCTATGTGCACTATTATTATAAGAAAGACAAATTGACTTTGTCGTTTTTTTATTCATATTCTCATTGTGAACTGATGTTACCAATATTGTACTTTTTATATTTATTTGACCTTTTTTAGCTATTTATTTTCTAGAACATTTTTAAGAAAACGTAGTAGTTGTGCTTCTCTTATATATTTGACCTATGAACCATTGTGTTGATTATATACGTTTCAATGTGCTACCCAAACGATAATTCTGTTAAAAAATATGTAAATGTGATTGGAAAATGAAATACAGTACTGTTTAAATTTGAGTCTTTTATTTTCTTACACATATATGACTTGTATCATTGGACTTCGAAGTACTTTATTTACTTTGCACTAGAGCTGCGCAATAGGCTACTCCTGAAAGCCGCACTATACAGTAGGTATAGTGCGGCTTTCCATAGGTTCTCCATAGTACTCCTGAAAGCCGCACTATACAGTACCATACTTTACCATAGGTTCTCCTGAAAGCCGCACTATACAGTGTTTTACTTACATTAAAGGTCACAGCAACTAAGGTTTTTGAAACGGTTTTGCAGTCTCCTTTTCTAACAACCACTACTGCTGTAGGGTAATGGTTGAAGAGAGAGGAGAAGTAATTTTTTCAGTTTTTATTTAGTCTTGGTTTGTTGTAGAACAGATTTGCATTCTCCACTCTATACACAGAGATATCACCAAAACTTGGGGGACTGGTTTACATTATGTCTATGGAAGCTAGACTTCTTCGCTTATATATATTCTTTCGGTAAACACTCTTAACCCCTAAAAACACAAGTTTTTTTTCCTGAAAAACTGTTAAAAATGATCGAGTTTTTTTGACAGAAAAGGAATATATAAGCTATTTTTTTGCAATTTCATTTATGGGATGTGACTAGTGAGCGGGGCTTTTTTTATGAAAGTTATAAAATAATTACTGTATTAACAAAGGTTAAACAATATTATTACAGTTTTATTTTGAATTTTAAAAAATTAAAATCAAATTAAATCAATATAATAATAATCAATTATCGAAATGCATCACGTGGTATACACAAGAAAAATATTGCATATTGATGTCGACTATGGTGAATAAATTTTATTATAATCTAGCCTATCAATTTTTACTTAAACTGATGTCAAATGGGCATTAGAAATAAAATGATGCTTGATATACATGCACATTTACGTACATACATTTGCACATACCCGTGTGAGAGATGGGCAAGTGCAAACTTGCCGGTAACTTTCACCCGTGTCAGACACTGGCAAATCAGTTAAGGAATTCTACTAATATACTAAATTTCATCCCAAAGTTAATTTCCCTTCTCCTGCTATCTCCTTGTTTGTGAGATTTATTTTCATTTATCTTGGAACATAATATACAAACTTTACGGCCCTTTTGACCTAGAATTTATCAAGCGACTCTTTGTTTTTACCTTGATTTGAAAATCAGTAAAATAAAAATAATGATTCAGAATAACAAAAAATGTCTTGATCAAATATTAATTTGCTTTTCATAAACATCTCAATCCTTTGAATTTTTAAATTACAAGATTGATACTCAAAAATTTTCTTTTAATATTAAACAAATATTTGTCAATGGGGAACGCTAACATTTTGAGTAAGATTTGACAGAAAACTCGGAATCAAGGAATGTTTTTAGCTTTATTTACTTTCCTCCTCGTCTTAAATGCAAATATGTACCATGTATGTTCAAGAATATTAATATTGATAGCAAAATTTATTCCTAGCATACATTTTCTCCTCTTTTTTATTTTCAGATCTAGTATCCGTAAGAGAATAGTGTTTTAATTTTAAAAATATTTTAAACAAACTTTGTCATTTAATACTTTCAGTTTGAATACATGCACCGAAATTAATCGATTATACATAGAGAAACAAAACAAGTTTATTTGAAGAACGATATTTTGCACCTTGTTTTCTTAATTACTGAATAATATGAACATTATTTATGAAAATAATATTTTTTAAGGGATACTCTGCTTATTTATAAACATAATTTTAATCTAAACGGTAAAAATGCAAATCTAAAAAGAAAAGAAAAATGAACGCCTTTTTTGGCCATACAATTCTAACGATTAATACTGTTTTGTTTTGCTTTTAATATTTAGCTAAGAGAAATAAAGTAAAAATTAATAGTAAAAAACATGGTTGAAGAGGCAATAGCTCAGAGCAAAGTTTTATTTTTGAATAGCATCTACTAAATAGCTAAAACTAATTATCTGAACTATAAAGCAATCAAATATATTAAACATTAAAAAAATAATAAG